ATAATTTTGCTGAAACATTTCACAATTTGTTTTGTGTGCAAGATGAATTGTTTCAAAATGATTTCGTTTCTAGACGATACAATTGCCAGACGATGAAATGATGGTTGGTGAGAAAGACGAACAAGAGGACGAAGACGATGAGGGTATGCAGGTTGATGACGAAGATCAGCAAAATGGTATCGTATCTGAGCGAGTTTATTTTCGATATCAAATCGCAAGTGAGGCGATCGGTGGAACAAATTCGCGATTAGATTCAACATTCAACCGCCACTTTTTGTTTTATGGGTTGCGGCAGAATGCTTAATTTGCCTGAGTTTTCAATGGAATTGTTAAAGTGAATGTGTCAAATTCGTGAATGAGCGTGCTTAAAAGAATCGTCTGAATTTAGAGATGTGTTTATACGATAGAGGCATGTGTCGGTGTAGTGCTGTAATTGTTATTGATTCCAGCATTAGATGATGGCCAGAACGAAGAGCACGATGATACAGAGGACAGCGAAGCGAAGGAGTCAGGAAGCGATACGGATATATCAGAAGATGAAGACATTGAAGATGAACAAGAAGAAGTAGACGAGGAATTCAAGAATAAGTTGAAGGCTGCATTAGGTGATGCTGCCGTACCGTCGGATGTCGATGAAGATGATGACGATAAGGTATGAATGAATTAGGTTNATTATAAACCAAACGGGAGGTCTTGACGTGGGATTAATCAAAAATTTTGATGGAATTGTTAACAAAATCGGTTTTGTCCTTCGTTTATTGTCGGAATTCTTCAGTCAACTCGCGTATCAACTTATGCATCAAAACGTTTCTGCAATTCATTTAGTTCGTAAAAGTAGTTTTCTGATGAAAAGGAATATGTAGTTCGTTGTGTTGACTAATTCATAATTCTTCTTCCCACTGTTCGTATCACGTTTCTCTTCGCTGAGTTTTGCAAGGCATTCGATTGATTTTACCGAATGATTTGGGTTGAATCTGAAATTGGAATCGAATCTTTGAGGTGAGTATTGATTCGACGGTGAGTGACGAGACGATGTTCCGGTTGGATGAAGGATTAGCGGCTGTGTTTCGAGAACGAATGAAAGGTGCTCGCAAGGCGAGCGCCTCAACTCTCGAGCAAATACATCAGTTTCGAATGAAATGCTTCGACCTTTTGCTCATCGTCGTATCACATGAAAACAGCGCACAGTTCACTTCGGTACATTTTTTACTTTTTTATTTTGACTCTTTGAAGTGGAAATTTATCAAACTGTGTGAATTGAAAGAATTTCTTTCCTCTGATCACACTTATAACGTGCGAGTACTTTTTGATAAGATCAAAGATTGATATGTTTGGGTGATAGTGTTTATGTCTAATGTTGAGGAAAGATAACTCGCCTGAAAATTATATGAGNGAGGTGATCGTTCAAGAATAGAAATTGCAGCAGTTCATAATACCCTTGTTGCAAATCACACGTGAATCTCTTCAAAGGAAAAACGGTGATGTGATGTTCAACAGAGCGTCCAATCTCATCGAAATTATTGTCAAATATAAAAAAGTTAGTCGTTCGGTCGAGCGTCATTGTCATTACCTTGCGCATTTGAAACCGGCGGAAATGCCATCAATAATAGTGCACTGATTTGTGTAGCTATCGATGTTTCTGTCTCTTTATCAGTACCGTATTCATTTTTCATTTGACTGTTATGATTTCCAGTCAGTTCTTAACAACTGCCAGTAGTCATTTCTGATACGTGAATGTTAAGTGATCTGTTTATTCTCGAGTGTTTTCATTGGGATTGGACAATTTAAGGGTGATGTAAGTGAGAAGAAAGGAGCAAAATTGTTGAAGAAAATGGTTGCGGTATCATCGCAAATTGTCAATCCAGTTCTGAAAAGTATCGTCGGAAACGTTTCAAGTTTTTTGGTTTGTTTTATTTTGAGATTTTTTTAAAGCTATCGTTCGTTGCTGTCAGTTTCACTTCTGATATATTCGCAGCTTTCAGAGAAACTTGAAAATTTTTGATTGCAGTTAAACTGTTATTCTTGGAAAGCATTTCGTGAATCCAACAGAAGTCAGCATATTTTCGCTGTAACAAAATATTTTTGGTTTCACCATTGCCGTTATTGCTATTTACGTGAATGCTGATATTACTATTGTTGTTATTACGTTCTTGTCACAGTTTTTACTATCATTTTTGCAGTTTTCAACGGCTTATAACGCTGACGA